GTTCTTGATACAGATGGTAGTTTATATGTTGACATTAAGTTAAAGTCAGCCAAATCTGATTTTGAAATATTAATTATGTTTTCAAAAACATCTGTGACAGATGGCTCCATTACAATTTTCCCTTTTCTGTTTTTAAGCACAGTTATAGAGTATTTTGGCAATTTTATAACTGGTCTAACAGTCCACAGAAGTGGAGCATCTTCATATCCAACAGCTTCATTTAAACAAGTAAAACCTGCACTGTAAGGTGGAGCAATCCATGATAATGGACTCAAATCAGCAGTACAAACAAAAGGAATTTCACAAATTTTAGACAAGAGTGCTGGTGACTTATGGATAGCCGTGGCTTTAGTTGAGAAAAGGTATTCCACAAGTACAGTAGAGGTATCTTTGCAATGACTTTTTGACACTTCATCACAAAATTTTACAAATTCCTCTGGTGCTACCTTAGTACGAAGACCAATAAACCTCAAGAAATCAAGCCATTCTTCTTTTCTATATTCTTCAGCAAGAAAATTAAACCTGTCAGAGAATGAATTGAATATCTCCATGGTATGATCAACAAAATGATTAACAGGATAAAGTTTGTCATCATTTGAATGAGAAACTAAGAATGGCAAATTCCTTGCACAGTTAACAAACTTTTTAGCTTGTTCACTCTGTTTCCCTGTCATTTGTAAAGCATGTTTTAAATTAGGAAAGAGACTCTTCCTAATGTATTCCATGTGACACATTCGTTCATCAAAATTTAGTCTGTCAAATACTGGAAAAATTATGTCACAATACACTTCAGTAGGTGACAACTCCTGACCAAGAATAGAAAAATTATTTTGACATAACCATTTCCAAGATCCATCTCTTTCTAAGAAGACAATTCTGTCAATAGGTGCCCACTTATCATGTGCTTCTAGTGGGAATTGAGGGTCATCAGGCCAAAGACAAACACGTTTTTCAACTAACTTTGTGACTGTTCCATTAATACTTTTGAACAAAGGGAGGCATAGGATCTTGTCTAAAATCTTTGTGTTATTATGAAATGATGTTTTGTTGAAGTATGACATTATAACCTGAATTTGTGAGTCATTTAGCGTTGTAACTTTTTGGGTAAAGCAATGCTCATTTTGTCTGCATACATGAAAGATGACATCCAAAATACTATTGTATTGTGTCATGCTAGGACAATAATTAAATATTGCTTGAGGATATCCTTCAGATACAAGTATAGGGACATTCAAATCCTTTAAAACATTAAAAGCATTGTGCAATACGTGCATTATGTCAGGTTCAACAATTGGCAATACACCAGATGCATAACTGTAGAGTTTATTATTCCTAGCTGGTAACAAGGCCCACTCCTGAACAATTTCATTCTGATAGATAATGAAATAGTCATCTGTTGTAATGCATTCCCATAATTTTTTAAGGGTATGACCATCAATAACATTGCTGGGTGCTTCATTTCCTTTTAATTTTGATGGTAAATTATCGTGAAGTAACTTCGATATTTGACTGAATAAACTGCTGTTACTTTTACTGAGAAAATAGCGCTGTGAAAGAGATATTTTGAAGAGTTCTGGATGCAAGAACTTAGCTTTACTTTTAGAAAAAAGTGAGAAATAGCTACTATAAAGTACTTGGTCGTTCTCATTAAAATTTCTAAGAATATCATCAGATGTGAGCAAGAGTGGATAGCCATTAGGAGATTTTGGAAACTCAGAGGAATGACATAAAATATATTTAAGAAATTCTTGAAAGCATTGAATAGTTTGAAAAGGACTTTCCTGTAGCTTAACTGGTACACCAGATGTCAAAATCAAAGAAGAAAAATTAGTATAAAAGGAAAATACAGACATTGGACTTATTATTGGAGGATGATATACTTTCTTAAAGGTTTGATAGATACAATGAGGTGCACAAGTTACTGACATTTGAATTTTATTTACAACAGGTATTATACTCTTAACATGCTCAGGCTGAAAGTATACCTGGGTAAATCCATTATCACTTTCCAATGAACGCCACTCCACTTTTGCCTTACTTTGTGATGTCAGGACCTGAATTGCAAGAACAGATGTATTTTGATCATAAAGATGTTGCACTACATTAAGAGCTAATGTATGCCAGTCACCCTCTAATCTTTCACTATCACCACCTTTCTTGAGTAGAGGAAAAAGATCATAATAACTGTTAATAATTGAAGAAAAATCTCGTAAAGAATAACTTTCAGACTCAGAAATAAAATAAGGTCTAGCTTTGTCTAACAGCAATGCATAGCAATATGCTATAGCTTGTAAGATGAATCTGTTCCATTTTATCTTATTGTCTTCCTTGTCTCCATTCCAAAGTGAACGACGATTGTTATTTAGAGCAAATTGACCATTGACATGTACTGGAAGATTTGTAAACACAGGTAATGGCAAAAAGCAAAAAACATGCCCATGTATATGAGTATCTCCATCCAAAGGAGCTGCAATGCCATACTTTGGCTGAACTCTATTAAGTGATAACTGTTCTGTTGGAGATTTTGATAAATTACCAACTCCATTTTGAATGAGCCATCTTTTAGTAACTTCTTCATTATGAGGCTTCACAATAGTAAGCTGTATTGGATATGTCACAATAAATGGCTCTTTGCTAGTTTTGAAAGAAAGCAGCTTCTGATGGAATCCTTCTCTCTGTTGTTGGTCTTCTTGTGAAATACTTATTTCATAGCTCAGCTTTAATGAGCTGTGCTTATCATCAATAATATAGAAGCTAAATTTTTTGATGTGATTCAAGAATAGAAGAGCATCTTCAATTTCATTCACCCAATTAGTGAGCTTCTCTTCCATTACACTGACAGAAATGTGTTTTTTGAAAGCTGTTTTGTCTAACAATTCAGTTGATTGGAGTCCACTTTGTGTTCGTAATGGGAATCTAAAGAGAGTACCAGTTGTTAAATTATCAGGCCAATGAACATTAGATGATGAAACCCAAAGAAAGCTGGATTTAAGATGACTCATACCTTCTAAAAAGTTATCATCAATGTTATATCGTCTTCCAGGACAGGAGTGATCTGCTTCTGGTATGTATCTGCAGTGTGGGTCAAATACACAAAGTGTGTTTCCTCTAGTAATAAAACTAGGACAGTCAGTCAGGTGATATGCTACATTGAAACCAATACCAAACTGGCCAATTGATTCATCGTCGTCACGCTTAGAACCAAGACCCAACTTCTGAATACCCTCCAAATCAGCATCACTAAATTCCTTATCATTCCATACCAGTAGGGCAGGTCCTTGTAATTCTTTTCCCCATTCTTCTGAAGGTACTTTTTCTTTCTTGTGCTGTCTTTTGTCAAGTATTACTCTTATTTTAGTAGCTTTAGCATCATCAGCATTTTGTAGTAGTTCTTTAAGAAATGTTGCATCAAGTGGATATTCCTGCAGTATATTCCTAATACGTCGAGTGAGTTCTTCCTTTTGACCAAAGGGAACCCCAACAAAACTTTGTTGTGACTGAGGGGCAAATTTATTCAAAAACCTGCTACATGTGGGTTTAACACCAAGTGTCAGTGCTACTTCTCGAGTTAGTTTATTGTGTACAAAGAAGCTCTCATTGTCTGGTGGTAGCCATGGTGAATCATTAAAGGATAATTGGCTGACTTGTCGAAGAGTAAAAGAATTATCAATAAGTATAATATCTCTCTTATAATCTGAAACTTGAGATGAATCAATGGTCATTGAATTTAACTCTGAAATCATGCTCAAAGCAATATCTCGAACACTTTCTTGAAGTTGATGTGACTCAAATTCTTTATACATTTTCTCAAAAGCTACCAATATGTCCTCATAGTTAAAATCTTTCTTAATATCAAGGCATTTTAAAAGTTTATCTTTTTCAGAAAGCATTGATGGCAGCTTGTAAAGATATGGTCCATCATGATAATTCCAGTTAACAGCCACATCCCATGGACAAACAAAAGTTTTACCTGTCCATATAAATGGTTTATTGTAATACTGTGATAATGACTCATGAAGCAAAGGATTATCAAGTAATTCATCAAAAAAAGTATATATTTCACGACACATTTCATTAATAATTTCATAATGAACTCTAGGTGCAGATGGTTTAAATGAACGAATCAAAGTATTTAAGTGTTTCAGAACTTCATCAAATGATGGCTTAGTAGCAATTTCTAATAACTTAATCACCCTTTGTCCTATAGTGCCACAACCTCCATCACTGACAGAATTAGTATTAAGTATTGCTCTTTGAGAGCCAACTATGAGAGCAGTGCCTCTTGCTGTACTACGTGAATTACAAATTAGTCCATAAGGAGACAGTAGCACATGACCCTCACCCTTCCAATTTATGAAGTAATGCTGAGGCTTTGGTAAAACAGGTAAAAATCTCATCTTTTTCAGCTCATCAGGCACAGGAGAAGTTATATATTGCAATATAGCTTTTACTCTTTTCATTGCTTTACTTTTGTCAGTAACAATGATTGATTCAATTGTTTCAGCACTTCTAATAATAATGTCCATTGATAGTTTTTCTGACATCATTCCAAACTCAACTAACATGTTACGTACCAAATTATTTTGACAGAAGCTAGATAAAGGAAACATAGCATCTTCAGGATCAAATATGTC